TGATGAAGGAATCATTTAAACTGGACTAGGCGGCGACTTGGGTGTTCCGCATACGGAGGCTTGGCCTTGTGTTAACGTGCTTGTGTAACGGCTCTCCTTCTAGTGTTTGCACCCAGCACTTACACCTACTCAACCGCCAAGATATTGTCTTATGTATTGGGTTTGTTTATCAAAATGTGTCTGATTTTTGCATACTAAACCCTAAGAGCAACTCCATTCGAAAGCGTATCAACGTATCAAGCAAAGGTCTGAACGACTGCATTGTATTGGAGGCGAGTGCTGATACTACGTCGTTAATATGACCATGATATTTTTCTTGGGATGATTATTACATATATTATTGTTTTACTTTATTATTTGGGAAAAAAAAGTCGGGAGGTGGTGTTTGATCTCTTGTTATTACTGCTACTGGCAAGGTTTAATTCACAAACATTATAACAGTGCGGGTCTTAGTATGTATTAGGTCGTGTTCAAGGTTGAGTTTAACTTTACTACCAGCTTCATCCATAGCTCATCTTTCAGCACCCACAATCTACAGTCAGTCTTGCCCACAGTCGAAATCATATTCAGTTTACCTTACCCACAGTCTACCACCCCCTTCCTGCCTCCCATATTCAGTCTGTCATACTCCTTGTAATCGAATTGAATTGTAACCGTTTATTTAGCCAGAAAAACACGGATACAGAGTGGATAATAATAACAATATTAACATGGCTGAGCCAGTTGAGAACCTGAGCTCTCTTTTAGGCACCTGATATATACTATACATTTATCTCAAGGAAGTATTATGTAACATTTAGTATCATCTGGAATAGTACAATAGCATGGTGGTAATAAGTCATCTTCAACCTAATCTGCCTCATTACCGTGAACGTTTTTCTAGTCTGCTTCTCTCTTCAGTCAATTTCATCCCATGGTCGTCTTTACATTACTTCACCCAGTCACCTAAACTGTAAAACTTGGTGTACGATTGGCGGCGTTATTTGTCAGGAGCTATGTCAGTTTTAGTGACAGTTTTAAAAGTTTTTCAGCACCTTGTCAAATGCCAAGGGCAGTTTTTACGATGACCCTGCCTGCGTCTCTCCTGTGCCCATCAGCGTTTGTATTATTCTTCTGAACCGTTGGGCGGATTGATATCAACCTCATTAAATATTTCAGATTTGCCTCAGTAGAATTTTCTCGCTAAAGGATAACTCGAACAGTACTCTGACCAGGTTCCTTGATGGATGTTTTGTTTCTATAATTATATGGCATTAACACATTGATTTCACTAAAACAGAATCAAGTGCCGGAATTGTTTATTCGTGGAATATTTAAGTTTTAGCTATGGCAGAATAACTACAGAACAGATAAAAATGGTCATTAATTAATATTAAGATTATTTTTCGACTTAAAAACATGAACTCGAGCAATGAGTTGGTGAAGGTAATCAGCGTGTCTGGTACTGTACGTACCTCCTTGTTACAAGGGCATTAGGTGCGAAGACTGGGGCTTGGTGATGGTCACTAACTCCCACGTTTCCTAACGCTCTATGATTCTGGTCTGGCCGGGTTGTTTCTCACACTCCTGTGGATACGTCGTCTAGGTCTCCCAAAGTAGACTATGGTAGACAGCTTAAGTGGAAATTACAGGTCTCTTTATTATTTATGTTTAGGAAGCAAAAAAGTTGGTTTGTGGCAAAATCCTAATTTTTTGTTGCCTTGTTTATGCAGTCTTGTGGAAACCACTAGTGTACAACAGTGTGCTTCCCACGAGCTGACGTTAATAAATGTCCATGAATATTGTGTAGACATGCAGTTTGTATAACATGTATTTGGAAGAGAGAAGCGTTAACATATACAGTAGAAGCTGTTCGATATAAACTTGTGTATCTATACGAGACAGAAGTCATTTTATTCAAGAAAATGGCGTAGTTAGGAAACATTTTCTGTTACTCAACCTGACCTAAACCAAAAATACGTCCGACGCTTTTATCTTCATGTTTCCACGTTGAAAAAATTCTGTCGAGTACGGGTTTTACACTACTTACCAACCCTTCCGTGAAGATCACAATATACATCATGTTTTGAAGTATTTATCGTTTTGTGTTTGCATATAACTGGACGGGTGCAAGAAGAACATTGTAGCCAACATATATGTAAGCTGGGGTGATTGAGAGAGTGTGTGTGATAGAGTGAAGCGCGGAACAGCAGTGTGTGGCAGCGACTGTAGGGTGACGGGTTCCTGGAGGCGGGACCGTCGAGGTTACAGCGACCGCCCTCCTCGACTGTGACGTGACGCTGGTGGTGGAACCGCTTACCTTCCGCACGCTCACCTCCCCGACTCACTGCTCTCTTCACTCAACTACTGTGCTTGCAACACTCCGGGTTTACCAGAATTGAATATCATCGTTTCGTAATCTTTGCCTAATGTAGCTACCGTATATACTGACTGCTATCAGTTACAACCAATGGCAACGTATCATTAAAGTTTAACACCGTTATGTGGAACGTCATAAGTTTTGTTTTGGACGCTTCAAAAATTTCCTGGTGTCAGCGTGCATGATGTACTGGCTGATTACTGTATTTGTTATTTTCATTCTCTGCTGTATATGATTGTGGTGAACGTCCTCACAATGAGGTTTGTGAATTACCTACCGCTCAGGCGTTCTCCAAGATCGTTACATTCGCCTAAATCCAGATTATTACTCAATATTGATCTAATGACTACGAAAAACATGGTTACAGATCAGTACAGTATCTCATCGCAACGTACCAAAATTGAGCAAAAAAATAATAAGTTTTGAGACGAGTGAAACAGTAAGCCCGTGTATGTGTGGGTGATAAGCATGGGGGCAGACAAGCCGAGTCATAGAATACGTTGAATACAAACGAATAATTACATAGGATCAGATAACGTGCAAATGGAATAATGGTTTAGTTTAGATTTTTATTTCGTTGTTGTTCAGTCTACACATCTCACCCTCACTTAAAAGTCGGTGGCCTATTTTATTGCGATAGTTAACATGCTGCCCGTCCCTGTATTGTCTATGTGCGCGTTTTTGCATATCTTGGTGTGGCAGTTTGTCTCTGTGTTCCTACCTGATTGATTATATTTTTCTTTGTCTTGGTATGTCTGTTTTCTCTGCCTAAAAGCTGTATCATGTGATCTAAGACAAGACATCAAACCTTACAAGTTATCTGAGTCGTTGAAACTTGAACAACAGAGATAACATCACTGGGGAATGATCTCATGGTTAGATAGAACAATTTGTTTTACTGTTCATATGGTATTACTGTAAGATAAGGTTGTTTTCCTCGTCTCTGGAGGGCTGGCTAACTCGTTATTCCCTCCACATGGTAACGTAGACTTTTAATTTACACGTACTGTATGGAGTACGTATATACCATTCAGCATTAGAAACGTTTCTGACTTATTTACTAAGCTAGGTAGACCCACTTTAATATTTGTCATGGTATTGTGTTAGTTTTCCCTTTGTGTACTGCCACGACTGGGTCTATATGGGTGAGAAATGATCAATAAATGTTTGGGGGGCGGGGAATAATAACGCAGTCTGGCATAACACTATACTGTTAGGAGATGCACTACACTGGTTCCCCCACCGTCATCATATCTGGTGTATAATCACTTGCTGATACTTTATATAGTGTACAGTACATTGTATATTGCTGTGGTAGAGTAAATTTTGTTGTCACTTGAATTGTTGCCACATTAGGATACCTGGTTGGTATATACTGTACATGGCTGGTGTAAAGTGTGGTGAATTAGGTAAGCTAACATTCTCTGCACGGATTTAGATGATCCTTTTAAGTTGCGGTTGTTGCACCTCTACTGTAGTGCTGCTGTCTTCTTCACGCGACTGTTTGTGTACCATATGGGTTAACTTCATTTTGCGAGCATTGACTAGGGGTGTGGTGGAAACAAGGTGTTAGCATGTGTGAATTATTAACGTTATAATTATGCTAGAGAAGTGTAGTTAGAGCAACAAGGTCGCTGGCGCCACCAACATGGAGCTTGTTAAAGATAAATCGCATTTTCCTAGTGGCTCAGGCGAGCTGCGTCACTCGCCCCCACCGCCACCTAGGCTTTGTTTGTTTGTTGCCAATGGCATTTTATGGCTAGTGGATGGTATTTTGTCTATTAGTGTGTTTTACAAAATGAATAGCCCCTATCTCTACCTCTAGGCAACATATGTACCCTGTACATTTCGAAATCAATCGTTTCTATCGAAGGTTTGCTACAATTTTGGTATTTTGCTTCTATGGCGGAATAAGATATAAGTAACATAACTACCTTTGTACCATGCATTAAGAAAGTGGGTGCTTAAATCCTTGGCTTTGGCTGAGAAGATATTACACGTAAATAGAAGGAGGAAGGTGTGCGTGTATAAAGTAGAGCCCTGCGCGAGGCTAGAGCGGGGTCCTGTGCGAGGCTACCGGTATCGATGTGACGGTCGGTTGCCTGGTAGTGGGATGATTATAATTGTCTACGTAATCCTTCAAACCTTTTCTTTATTTTGTTATGTAGAACAAGTTTTTAAACATTCACAAAGAAGTTGTGTGAATAAGAACCTTTTAATAAGTACCGAACAAAAGTTATAGGGCAAGTGTGTAAAAAGCAAAGAGAAAGGTGGTTCTGGCGTCTTCCCGCGCGGCCTGGGGCGGCGGGAGGCAGGGGGCGGCTGGGGGGAGGGGGCGGCTGAGGGGAGGGGGGGAGGGAGGGGGACAGCCGGGTGTGTGTACGCCAAACATTGCCACGTAAAAAATACCACCAACCCACCACCCTGCTTCACCACCTCCGCTACCTCACTCTTTCACCTCTTCAGTTTAGTTCTGTGCCTCATATTAGTCATGTCTAGCACAACATAACATGATCACGTGGAGTCCCCAAACTTGACTGGGCTGCCTCATCCCTACCTTGCCGAGTGCTTGCTTTTTTTTTTTGGTCGTGATGGTAGATTGTGTTGCTCTATAAATAGAAATATTGAATAATGACAAAAGTTTTATATCAGTATTGTTTATTTAATTTGGACTTGTTTAGGAAGACAGCAGATGGTGGGGTCTAACTGAATAAGGGGCGGCTGTTGGTGGCGACCAGACCAGATGAGGCAGTGGGAGCGGTCTAGCCACTCGGAGTCGAGCCAGGCCTGGGTGGTGGTGGAAACTGTTTCCTACCGCGGTGAGCCATGTGCTGGTGGCTCAACATGGCCTGACAGGGAGGGGGAAGAGTAGAGGGGGATGTAGTCATACTGCAAGCTGCTGCTATTGACGATTCTTGCTGCTTCCACCCAAGTTAGCTGTTACGTCGAGTTCTTGCCGCCGAGGACCGAGCTGGTGGTGTAACACGGGATGGTTACTGTACTCGTGAAGTAGTTTGAGTTTTGTTGTAAATTGTTGTGAAAAAAATATCGTGGTGAGTTACAAAGTCTAAGAGTTGACCTTACTGGCTGGAGAAGGTGGAACAAGGGAAGGATTTAATATATTTGTATGTGGAAGGTCCATCTACGAGACGTATATCAGTACTAGATGTGTGAACAGTTTTAGGAAGCCTGTGAAATAAAGGTTTTCTGGTGGATAGATGGTGAAACGTGCCAAGACTGAGGAGGTAAACTTAATTCGAGACTATATATATATATATATAAAATTGTTTAATTTAAAAGGGAATAAAAAAAACTTCAGTGTCGCCAGTTCATGACCTATGAAGTGATTACTGTTAACTTCCTGGATTGAATGGACAGAGAAGATTACACTTAACTAGCTCTAGATACAAGAACTAACAGTTAGATGGTTAAATTTATCTTATAGTAAACTGAACACTTTTAGCCCAACTGGGATGTTGTGCAAAATATGATAGGCGTCAGTGAAGAGAAATGTTCTACTGATGTGATTCAAACATAATATTTTAATGAATGAAGCATTATGGTTCATAAACATTCTTGGGGAAGTTTGGTGTAGTGTTTCTTGCTGGCACTGTAGCTTGTTGGTTTCATGACGAAACTTAGTTCTCCTGTTGCGACGTAGATCATTTGTGTGAGAATTTATTGCTGTTTTAACGCCGACACACATAGGTCATCCAGGCATTGTGTTGGGTTACTTAACGATTCAGACCAAGCATTCACCCGAAACAAGAATTATATACTTGAATATGAGTTTAGTAAAATAATGTTATCCCCGTACTAATTAAAATGAATGACTAGGCTGTTGAAACTGTTCCTTGTCTTAATACACCTAATATAAATACTATAATTACCCATACTAGTGCCTTTGATCTCTAGTTTAATCGACATTTATTTTAATTACTCGTACTGGTGGTATTAATACGCTGCCTATGTGCCTTTGATCTCCAGTAAACTACATAATTTGTTAGGTTAACGAGTACGAGACAGATGAAGACGTTACCGACTTATACTGGCGAGCGGGCTATAAGATGTAAAGGGGCCCTAGAGATTGAACACCAGGTCACACTCGTACGGGGTAGTAGAGTGTAAGAAGTGTTTGTATGAAGGCACAGGTTTATGTATGTCGTATTTTAATAATCATAACCCCCGCTCAAACATAGCCCCTCCCCCCCTCTCTCTCTCTCTCTCTCTCTCTCTCTCTCTCTCTCTCTCTCATTCTCATTGATTTCTGGTACGTGTCGTGACTATGGTAGTGACTCATACACATGCAGGCCCTCCAGATCCTGCTCCATAAGGAAGACAGGAAGTCATCTGTTCTTCAGTGAGATAATCTTTCAACACTATATGATCAGTTTCTGGTAAAAAGTTTCGTCTGAGGTTTAGGATATCTGCCATCAGATATATTTTTTGCGGTGGTGTTTTTGTTTAAGCCGGAAGGGCAGACACACACACAGGTTCAAACCAGTCATGAGGTTATGGTAACGAGAAGATGGGGTTAAAAATTGTAATATTTAAGACGCACAGGAAATGCATTATTGGTACGTGATGGTTGGTTCAGATGAAGGACTGTTTGTCTGGGTGTCTGCCGAACTGCTTGCTGCCTCGGTAGCTGATTGAGACTCCCGAAGTTTCATATCGAGTTTGTTTTAATATCGGCCGAGCGTGACGTGCTTAGCCTATAACGCTTACCCTCTCTGACTGGTGTTCCATATGGGCGCCTGGAATATACTGTACATGTCACGTTTTGTGCCACGTAATCGATAGCTATTAAGTTAAAGGACCAGTAGATCTCACAAACGAGAACAAATAATGGGGGAGGTAGTGTGAGAATTAAAAACTGAAAGTGGGACGCCATTGTTATGATTACATACAGTATATTGTACAGTACATACATAAAGGCATCCAAAACACACATACACTGACCAACACGTATACACGAAAGATATTAAGAGATAAACAAATTTATTTTATTTCAAGATTTGGGAGCAGTTGTTAGCCTAACGTTTTTTTTTTGCTTGTAAGGAAGGGTGGTGTCGATAATGTTCGGTGCTCGTCCACGTTACTCCCACAATAATAAGCCAGATGTGAACTTTAATAACTGCTCTTTGCTTTTCGTGCGGTATATGAGAACGAATAAACTTTTCTATTATGTTTTTCTTTATTTTGCCAACCTGCGAATTCTGAGCTGTAGAAATTGTAAATATGATGTTTTAGTTTAGTACTATACCCCCCTCTCCTCCTTATGAAACACTGGGCAGTCTCCTTAGCGACACACTATCACTATACTGTAAGTAATCCTCTCCCTAACTCCCAAAATCCTTTGCTGCTAAGAGGAGAAAATATATTGATAAATCTAGGTAATCCCTTCCCTGATAATGTCGAGCTGTGAAGATTAGTGGGGGTTAGTTTGGTCATGATAAAGTAAGCGTTATCTGGGGAGGGAGGTGGCTTGTCTAGGCCACTGACGACTAGACCTGGTTCTCCGGTTGTATATAACTGTATTACATTACCAGTCAAATCATTCACATATTTCACACACATATATTAATATCTCTGTATATAAATGTAAACTGTAAAATTTTAAATAAAAAAAAATCTAACCCAATGTATGTGAAGTGTGGAAGCCATTGAGGAGTGTTGTGTAGCCCATAGACAGTTAAACCTAGAGACACCATCACGAGGGAGGAACACCCGAGTTTGGGTTTACTCCTCCTGTCCCAGCATACGGGATGAGTTTCACCGCTTTTCTGTGTGTGTGTGTGTTATCTTTCCCAGTAATGTTACTTCACTTCCGTTTGGTGCATTCTCTGTTCTAATACAGGGAGTAACCTAACCTTACCTTACCTTTAGTTAGCGACTATCATTTCTTTCCTCTCACACACAACACACTCGCTGATAAGGCACCGGTACATGTAAACGGACTGTGAGTGGAACGACGTAGTGTGTGTGTGTACGGACGTTGGTAAGGTGAGAGAAGCAGGGAGGGGAGGAGGAGTAGGAGGGGGACCGCGTCACATGGTGGTGCGTCACACAGGACTACCACCACCCAACCCGTCACCCCGACAATAACCAACCTCGGTAAATTACCACCCGACTCCCTCCCTCCCTCCTTCCTTCCTTCCTACCTACCTACACCTCTTCACACTCCTACACTCAACACCTCTTTACCTGCATGTGTACATAATACTTGCACATTTTGCCTCTTTGTTTAACATCTCCCATCCTCAGACTACATGCCCTCAGAATAGGCAAACTGTACTCGAAGCTTTGTCAATAAATTTGTTAAACCTTATACTTTCATACTGTTGTGCTCTCATCCTTATATACTGTACATCCACAAACGCCCTTATATTGGTTTGCTTTTACACATTTATAAACTGTTATATATCTTGACCATCTCGTTCATGACGTGTTACACCCCCTCAGTTAGTGACGTTACTCCCTCCAGTTAGTAACGGTACACCCTCCCTTCGTGTTATCGTCTGCATCCCCTTGCCTCACCCGCCTCTCATACAGACGCCTCTAAGTTAAGATAAGATTATTATTGATAAAGGGGGTTCTGCTGCTGCTGTCGGGTATAAAGCCTGGTGGTCAGTCGCCTAGCCAGCTCAACCTTCCTACCTCAGTGCCACACCGCCACCATCGCTATTGTCCTTCACTCGCCACCACAACAATACCACACTATCACCGCCGCCACCACCACCACAACTACTACTACTACTACAGCTGAATGCATTCCCTACTGTAAAATAAACTATGTATGCCAGTAACCAGGAACCAATAACCCAGTACAGGCAGCCACTACCACAATCATACATACATACAGCTACCACAACCATATATCCAGCTACCACAACCATACACACACATCTTACACAACCATACACACATCTTACACAACCGCCACAACCATACATAGAGCTACCAAGACCATACACACGGCTACCAAGACCATATACACAGCTTACACAACCACTATGCACACACACACTCGCTCGCTCACCACCACACGTCGTCGGCGATGCTCCAGTACACCGGGGTTGGTCGCTCAGGTGAAAGCGGTCATTGACTTGGTGTGAGCTCTGTGTAAAACTAGTAATTGTTTCGTCATCTTACGTTAGCTGTTGCATTAAGTTCGTTACTGGGAGAGTCAAGTCACCAGGTCTCTCAGTCTTGTGTGTGTTGATAGCTGCTCACTTGGGGGGTTTCAATATGGTTGACCTGTTTAGTGAGGCAGCAGGCGGTGAGGTGAAAAGTGAGTGAGTGAGTTAGTGTGGTAGTAACAGGTGTGTACTGTGGTGTAGTTGGTGATGGCCATCTGGCTCTCTTGCACTTACCAGATAGACGGTAGATTAGATAAGGCGGAGTAACATACTGGGGGGAGGTCACAATATGTCATGTGGTGGGCGGGTTGGCCAACCGGACCCCTGCACCATGATGCGCATGGCGGCACCCTGACCAACCTACCTCACACACACACACACTCGGCAGGTCAGCAAGTGGACTATGTTGACATTGTGAGAGTTTACCAGAACACTCCTGTTGTATAAAAGTACGATTGTGTGCGTGTGTTGGTAGCGTGGTGAGTGTATGGCTGGCTATGTGTGCATGACTGAGTGTGTGTGTGTTGTGGAGAGTGTATGGTGGAACTGGTGAAAGGTGTTGTGTGACGAGAGATGGAGGATGGTAGACACTTGGTGGGGTAGATTGGGTTTGAGACAGCAGGCTGGTGTGTGTGGCGGGTTAGAGCGGCAGGTCACAGCAGGTTCTGAGGCGTGGTGTAGTTTGGCGGGAACATGTTTTGAGAGGTTGCCATGGCCGGGTGTTGTGGACGCCCCCGCAGGCTGCTGGATAAGAAACCACCTTGCTGCCACTCACTCCCTGCCTCCCTCCCTCTCTCCCGCCATTTTGTGAGCCTATAAAACGGAGAGACTGTCTGCATCACGAGTTCTCTATATAGAAGATGCCGCGCTGGGGTAGAGGGTGGTAGTAGTGGTAGTAGTCGTGGTGGTAGCAGTAGTAAGGTGTTGACGATGACTGGACCACACAGCAGCCAGAGTGTGGTGGTGGACTGGCGGGCGGCTCTATGACGTCACCACTTAACACGCAGCATCGCACCCACCCACACCACCACCACTTTGGAATATATTGTTATCGCCGTGGCCTGTGTGTGTGTACAGTGCTACCATCCACTTCTCCCTGTCAAATGTTCAAATAAAATCTCACTTTTAAATACAGATTATTAACCATTTATGGCTATTATTATTAGTTTGATATCTAGGCATGGATTACCCTCGTACCCAGCTCCCACACTCGTCATCTAAGTAATTAAACCAAGTAAGGAAGTGTACGAATTATTGTTGCAGTCATGTGATATATCTCAAGGTCTTGGTTAGTGGGATCAGAGAGAAGCATACTGTAGAAACTGTTTGGTTCTGCTCGACAAATGTTGGCAAATGGCAAATATTTTTATGTTCGCTTTGGATGGTTAACTGGGGTGGGAAGAGCAATTTGTTGTTGAAGTAAAACTCCTGAGTGGAATTAGAGGGTGAGAGAGAGAGAGAGAGAGAGAGAGAGAGAGAGAGAGAGAGAGAGAGAGAGAGTGTGTGTGTGTGTGTAACGGTGGCTGGGATTAGTACAAGGGCACGTTACTTCATAGTTACATCGTATCAGACACCCACGACAAAACCTGGAGTGTGGGAACTGATCAAGGCATTTAAATGTGTGTTAATAATATTGACACAATCTACAAGACTGATACAATAGTTACAAAATAAGTATTGTAGAAGATGGTATTCATATTATTGTACACTTATCCACTACAGAATCGGACACACCATCTACAAGAATGCGTTTACTGTCTAGAACTAAATATATCCTGTGTGTATGTGTATCCTACGTTATATATAATATGTGTGTATGTTTAAAGCTTTCGAGATGCTAACTTGGTGTAAATTACCAACATTAATAACAGGTATTACCCCAAACGTCACAATATTTTCATACAGGACGGTGAAATTAACGGTAGAAATCATAATATGAGTCAACTTTAGTCATCAGTGATATGCTGGAGTTGAACCTTTGACATCTGAGAGTAAAAGGCCAAGTTGAAGTCATAAGAAATACAGTACTACTTAAAATGTTAGGAGTAAGGTATTGCACGCTGGTTCTGTGTCAACTGTAAAATTTTGGAATCGATTGATGTTTTTGGTGGCCAGGCTTGCGTCTCGATAAACTGTGGGATTAGAATTTGTTTATAATATTGGTATTTGGGTTTTGTAGATAATTGTTAGCTAATCTTTTTCTTCGTTTAAAATCAGATTTCTACTTCGAGTGAATGAAGTGTGATGAATCTGGCTCAATGTGTCTGATTATATATTTAAAGAACGGAGGTTGCCCTGGAAAAAAATTATCCCTATTATTAGTAGTAGTATTTTTATTACTTTTATTATTTACATCATTATTGTGGGACAAAAACAGTCATTCATATTAATCTTATGAATCTTGCTCTCGCCTGGGGTGTTACAACTACTCTTGTGTGAATGAATCTTCTCCCAGTCACAAAATTATTTTTATTGGTTGTGTGTGTGTTGAGGCGTGTGCAGGGAGGTGGGTGGGTGGGAGGTTAAATGGTCGTGTTGCGTGAAGCGAAGCGGTGATGAGAGGGTTAGTCTAGCCTAGCCTAGCCTAAACTAACCTAACTGTCGTGGGAGGGTGAGAGTGTTGAAGGGGAGGGGAGTTGTCTGCCTCACACCACTGCCGCAGCTGCTGTCATTGGTTACACACACACACATGGGACACAAGTCCTAATATGACCCAATTTAAACTACCCTGACCGTTTGGATTACGGCACTAGAACCAGGCCTGGGCTTATTAGGGACTGGGGTTCACTGGGATGGGGCACCCCCTAATGTTAGTGTGCTGTTTGGAAAAGCTATTAGAACACTTTCCCATTTGACCAGCAGCAAGCAACCTTCCCGCGCCCTCACACCCAACCCTCCCGCGCCCTCACACCCAACCCTCCCGCTTGATACCAGGAATTGTGTAGTGTTCAGGGGTGTGGAAATGACTGGCTTGGTATTGAAGTTGACGACAGAAGACTTCCTTGATGCCATACAATGGTGTGGAATTGCCTTGTGTGTGTGTACGACTTGTTCATAATAACATGGTAGATTTCGCGTTCATTTTATTTATATATATTTTTAGTTCACTATGTTAAGCTACGCCTTCGTTTTGTTATTCTGCCGTGCTCTGTTGAATACCTAACCCTACAGGCCAGTGAATCTTCAGGGAGAAAAAACACGTTGTCTCAAGATGTTAATAAAATGACTTAAAATAATATCAAAGTCATTATAATCTTAGGTTGTGTGAATCAGTACACCAGATGACCACAGAGACCCAAGATGGTCGCTAATGCTGTGATTAAAATGGCTAATTGATTTTTATGTGTGGTAAGGTGAAGTGGGAATGGTGTCGTAGTCCAATGCGTCAGTTTAACGGTGGAGTTTTGAGTTGGGTATTGATTATTTAGTCCAGATTTCACATTAACTTTGCTTTAAAATCGGTTAGGTTAGGCATTTCACAGTAACCTTAAAATCGGTTAGGTTAGGCATTTCACAGTAACCTTAAAATCGGTTAGGTTAGGCATTTCACAGTAACCTTAAAATCGGTTAGGTTAGGCATTTCACAGTAACCTTAAAATCGGTTAGGTTAGGCATTTGAAAATCGGTTAGGTTATTAGGTATTTCACAGTAACCTTAAAATCGGTTAGGTATTTCACAGTAACCTTTAAAATCGGTTAGGTTAGGCATTTCACAGTAACCTTAAAATCGGTTAGGTTAGGCATTTCACAGTAACCTTAAAATCGGTTAGGTTAGGCATTTCACAGTAACCTTAAAATCGGTTAGGTTAGGCATTTCACAGTAACCTTAAAATCGGTTAGGTTAGGCATTGTACACAGTAATTTCATTTAAAATCGGTTAGGTTAGATTAGGCATTTCTCAGTAACTAACTTTAAAATCGATGCGAAATATTGTGTTGGAATGTTAATTTTTTTCAGTATACGATATTGTATAACTGCCCCAAAAAATATACTCACATTGGTCTGTGTTTAGCTTTT